GACCAATCTACCTCTATCAAGAAGCGATTGTGGTCAATAATAAAAATTATATAACTATTGCAACTATAGTATATCTCAATTGTAAAGTTTTACTTTATCTAGAATCTTCTTTCTAACGTACGACCAAAGCTGGATGTAAAATAAATGGAGGGTCCCGGTTCTCTGTAGGTAGCACTGTGTTTATCATTATAATCACCCCAAAACACGTGGTTGCAATCCACCTGGCTGTCCAGATTTGGAAAGAGTAAACAATGCTGATCTTCTGATGGGAGTAAGCTATTTTGCCCACTTTTTTCGAAAATTTTGTTGAAAGTACAAGTGGGTAATAGCAAAGATGACAGGCCAAGGTAAGCACCAAAACATGGAGTGTAAGAGTTTATATTATATAGAATAGTATATTTATCCAAGCTTTTATCCTTGCGCTTGCTCCAATATAACTTGACAAAAACTTTCTTAGTTGTTACCAAAGCTACTTGTTCGATAGCTCCATAGACTTCTACCGGAGAGCCAAACCTACAAGAAGTTGTCTTTTTCAACTCTATTTCATAGCGCTTACATGCAATCTGAAACTCTTGAACCCAGATACTATTTGGCAAAGTTTTGTTATAAAAAAACATACTAACTACACAATATATATAGGTCAGTATTAGTGGAATTTTGGTGCAAGAGATCGTTGAAAAGAGTTCGAATACTATATATTAATTGTTTCAATAACTTATTATTTTTTGATTATTTTTATTATTATTATTATAATTATTATAAACCCAATATTTATTAATTGTTATTTAATTTAAACTTTTATTCTTTTTATTTTATTAATACTCTAATCAAGTATTAATTTATTTTCTTTTATTATATTTTAAAAACCCTTATTTTAAAAACTTATACTTTATTACAAATATTGAAAAAGAACTTTATTTTAATTTTTTTTATTACAATTCCCCATGTCTAAATACTTGATAACCCTTATAAAGGCAATACCTTTTCATTGCCTCAATTCTACAAACAATTTCCTCCTTTTTCCTTACCAATCAAGATGATAAAGCATCCTGACTTAACATCCCTGCTATTTGAAGTTGCTCTTAAACAGATATTAGTTGCCAAAAAAAGATTCAATACTCCTGCTAGAAACTTTTTTTTAAAAAAAAAATTATTATTATTCTCTTATTTTTATTTTTATTTTTAATTATTTGATTATTTTTTATATACCACTATACTTCATCAAAATCTAAACCTTCAAGAATGTAAGAATAGGTTATTACTTCTTTAGGGACTTCTGGAGTTACTTCTTTGATAACCACTTCTTTAGAAACTATATTTTCTTGAACTTTTTCCTCCCGAACCAGCTCGTCATCAGAGATAATAACAACCTTGTTATTATTATTATTATTATTATTATTACTACTACTACTATTATTATTATTACTATTATTATTATTATTATTATTATTTTTATCATTTTTATAATAATAAAAACTTCATTTGAAGTGGCTACAATTGTTGGAATGTTTTGTCATTTTAAAAAACTTTACAAGAAACAAAAATAAAAAATTGGGTGAAAGCACAAGTGTATGTAGTGACATATAGCCCAATTTACTATTTTTAAAAATGTCAAACACAAGAAAACAAATTAGACAATATTATTGGACAATCTTTATACAAAAATTGATCTTTAAAAGGAGTGCAGAAAAAAATTTATTGTGTATACATTACTGTAGTATAGTGGGTCGAGCATATGGCAGTGCATGGCTGTGTGTTTGAATCCTGCTAGTAGCTAGTCATACCTAGTACACTATAGTGAAGGTACTGACTACAGTTGCACTTTTTATTATCTCTTTTAAATTTTTATATTTTATTATTATTATTAATATTATTATTAATATTAATATTAATATTATTATTATTATTATTATTATTATTGGTTATTATTTTTTTTTCTTTCAATAATTTTTCTTCCCTGATATTATTTTGTTTCACTGGAGCTCAAACTTTAAAAGGAGAGTGATATAGACAGTTGATTTCTATTTATTTTCTTTTTTTTTATTTTTTTTATTTTTTTTTTTAAATATTAAGGTGACCACTTAGGTCCCTGGCACGTAGCTTTATTTAGATAATTACGATACTACATCAATTTCATAAGGATAACTAGCTACATGTGTATTTTTGGTATCTAATTTAAGTAGTCTACCTGGGTTCTATACTAGCTGCTATCCCTTAAACTGTTTCTCCTGCAAATTTGCCCTGAAATTTTGAAATTTGATTTGTCAATCCATATAGTACTTGTAATACAGTAAAAATTAAGGTTTTACCTATCTAATCGGAAAATCCTGGTTTTTACTTATTTGGAAATTCATTTATTTTTAGTGTCACATAAAAGTATTGTTTTTTTTTTTTGGCTTATTGTTCGATCGTTATCTATTACAAATTAGCTTTGTCGATCACAATCATCGTAAATTTTTTTTTTTATTTTTCTTACATACCACTTTACTATTTTTTTTTAAACATCAAATATGGACGACGATACTGAAGATAATGATGTATATACTTTTGAGCTTATGCGAAATATTGAGAAAGAAATCGAAAATGAAGTTAGAGATCTTACTGATCAGAATAGTGATAAAGATAAAATTTTTGACAAAACAGAAGAAAATACTGATGATGAAGCTGAAGAGGAGACTGTAAACATTAAAAATAAGAAAAGAATTAATAAAAATAGTCATACAAAAAAAAAAAAACATCTCAATCAAATTTGTTTAATTTACTATTAGCACCGTTATTTCAAAAATTTCAATATGATAAACCTTACCATACTTCTCAAGTAAAAGTAGCTGACAAATTAACTGTTGGTGAAATTACTCCATATTCGATTTTTCGTTTATTTTTTTCTAATCTACAATTAACTACTATTGTTAAAAATACGAATTATTATGCAATTGCAAAATCGGCTGGTAAAGGATGTGAATGGATTTCTTTAACGATCGAAGAATTATTAATATGGTTTGCCCTAATAATTTACATAGGTGTTTTTAAGTTACCGAGTAGGGAAGATTATTGGAAAACAGATTGGAAATATCCACAACATAGAATTACCAAATATATGACTTTAGTTCAGTTTGAACAAGTTACGTTTATTTTTAGTTATTTTTTATTTTATTTGAATTTATGCTTATTTTATTTTTTAAAAAAATAAAGATAAAGCAATATCTTCATATCGCAAATATTGAACCAAAATCATCTCAATTACCATGGTATTCTGAAATTGAGCCTTTATCTACACATATCTTAAAAGTTTCTAAATCGATATATTTACCAAAATCGCAAGTTTCAATTGATGAAATGGTTGCCAGATTTCGAGGGAAAAGTAGTTATACAGTGCGAATCAAAAATAAACCTACACCAGAAGGATACAAAATACTTTCGCTTTGTGATTCGGGATATACATATTGTTTTGTTTTTACTTCTCGTATTGAATCTGTAGAATCTAATTCTGAAATTAATTTAATTCTGAATATTAATAAAATCGGGTGGCAAGTTTATTATTTGATATCTCAACTTCCAAATAACAAAGCATATGATATTTATATGGATAATTTTTTTACGAGTATTAATTTATTTAGTCATATGTGAAAAAATGGGTATGGTGGTTGCGGAACAGTAAGAACAAATACATCAAAATTTCCTACTTGCTTAAAAATAAAAAAATTGCAGAAATTAGAATGGGGTACTCTTTCTGGCGCTGTTGTCAATGATGTTTTGGTTGTGTTTTGGATGGATAACGGGCTAGTAACAATATTAACAACCATACATGAAATTTTAGGTGATGAAAATCGAGTAGAAAGAGAAAGAAGAAGGCCATGAACAACTAGTACAAATGCTGTAAAAGTACGTGGTGTATTTGGTAATACAAGTAAGAGAGTTCTTCTCATACCTGCTATAATAGATGATTACAACTATCATATGGGTGGTGTTGACATAGCCGACCAATTAAGGGGCTATTATGGTGTATAAGTTCCTGTACGTCGCACCTGAATGCCATTATTTTTTTAGCTCCTAGATACTAGCATCATTAATACTTTCCTAATTTCCAAAAAGCTTAATTTGGTAACAGTACATAAAGATTTTCGGATAAATTTAGTATAGAATTTGGTGGAAGAATCACTTGAAATGGGTCAAAATTTACATACACAGAAAAAAATAGCAATGATTCAGTCAGGATTACAGGAGGATCAAGATTTACAAAGATCATTTTATGTTACAAAAAAATTTGACTTACCCATTGAATGATTACACCCACGAAGTCACTACACAGTATATCGTTCTGAGAAAGAGAGGGTTCCTGTGTTTGGTGCCGGTTTAAAAATATGGCTAAACAAGGAAAATACAATAAAAATTCACCACAGAGTCAGGTGTGTGCACAGTATGTAATGTGCCTTTATGTCTCAATATACAACGTCCAGATTGTTTTATTGAGTATCATGAACATAAATAATAAAATAAATATTATTTTTATATTGATTTTTATATTGTGGTATAAAGATAATATCATGTTTGCTATTATTTTGTACACACGGTTATAATATATATAATTCGGAAAATTTCAGGGCAAATTTGCCCTGAATTTCAAACGGTTTAAGGGATACCTGCAACCTAACTAGAAGATTATCTATTTAAGCTCTCTGATTATTTAACTAATGAGAGTACAACTAGCCATACTTGCAACTTTTGGTTACCTATTTAAGTAGTCTGCCCTAGGTTCCACACTAGCTGCTATACCTGCACCCAACTATGGAGATACCTATTTAAATCCTCTGGCTCTATTTCTGTAATACGCTTACCCTAACACTCTTAATGAGATTAGCAATGTTGTGGAATGATGCTAAGACTTTAGCCACATGGGCATTTATCTTTGTAGTAAACCTAAAAGAGTGGTACATGTCCCACATATGTACTCACCTACATGTTCAGTAACTTTTCTCCAACTAGTACATGTTGTGCTGCTGCCACCGGGTCCGTATCTCAAGCTATCTTTTTGGATACTGCTATAATCCGATCTGTATCTCAAGCCACAACCTTCCTAATTAGTTTCTACTTATATACTCCTACTCTTGCAAGGTTCAAAACAATCCCAGTACCCATGTTCTAACTTTTTTCTTTCCCGGATTCCTTACCAATTATCCCTTACTTCTAGCCAGCAACCCAGAAGGGCTGGTCTGCCAGGCTCTAGGTGCCTTATAGTCTCCCTCTCCTTGGTATATGCTTCTGGAGTACAAGTCCTTTTCTTCTTGTAGTAAGCTGGCAGTTCAGCTGGTGTGTCTCCCCACGTAAGGACCTGGTCACTCAGTTCAACGGTCTTAGTCTCTGGTTCCAAATTTAGTCTTTCTGTAGCACCATCGAAGATCACTGCTACTTCCCAACTCAGAACTTGCCAAATGGGTTTTCAGTAATTCTGGTTTCCTGGATTTATTGCGCCAAAGCTCCTATTCAAGATAGTGTGATCAAGATTATAAATATCTAGATTCAACTGATAATCTGAATGTTAACCAATACAGATCTAGTTTTTTCTAAATCATCATTTGTGGGATTCGAACTCTAGATCTGCCGTTTGAGGGTGTGACAACTCCACTACTTCACTAAGTTGTTACACCTCTTAAGTTGAAGTAATTAAGAATTTTAATATATAGTATCTATAAGAATAGTAATAAATTAGATAATATAGTTTAAATTTTGTTTATCTAATTTGTTATTAAAGTAATTTTAGTTGTATTTTTAATAAAGGTTTAGATTTTAAATAGAATAATATTGTTTTGCTATAAGAAGTAAAAGAAAAAGTTTGCTTCATTTGTATTTAATAAAAATCTTTTCTAATTTTTTGCTAATAATATATAGAATATTTTTGCTATTTGCTTTTGTTTTAAAGATTTCAAGCTTAATATTTTTCTTGTTTAGTAAAAGTTTATAGTAGTTAGTTTTTGGTTAATTTCGATATTAGAGGTATTAAGTAGCTTTTAATAGTTTGTAGTGTGGCATTGTTTGTTGTAAAAATATTAATATAGCTATTAAAAAAAAATTTAAAATGATTATTTCAAGTTCTGTATGAAGTATGTTTTGTCTTTTAATTAATACTACATTGAATTTTGTAAGAAAAATTTTGATTAAAACTAGCTAATTCCTGTTTGTAGTGAGTTAAAGTAAGATTTTACTATAGTATTTATATAGAAGTGTAATAAGATTGTAGTGTTTGTATAAAATATTAATATTTGGTTTAAAATATTAAATACAGTCCCTCTTATTAATATCAACTTCATTAATATCAATCTAAAGCTATAAGATAAAATTTTACAAATTTTATAATCTGCTATTATAATTAAAAAAAACTATAAAAATTTGTACAGATTTTTTATTAATTAAAATTTGCACAAAATTTTTTTTTTTTTTTTTAAATGTTAAAGGTAAGACCATGCTCTTATCTTTATTAGACTTAATAAAAACTTTTTACATAAT